GAAGGTGAATATCTCCAGATTTTTATTTTTTTAACCTTCTGGAAAAAGCTGCCAACTAACTTTGGCCCGGCCCCAACTGTTCTTCCTTCCTGGCCCCAGTGGAAATGCAAAATCTCTGCCTGATTCCTGCTCAGGCAGACCAACAAGTCTACAGTTGGTTCTTGCTTTTTTAATAAAAGCATCATTTTTCAACAGAAAATTCATAATTGAGTAAATCATGTGCAAATCACACCCATGCCTGGGGAATTCTAACTGTGTAGTCCATAAACAGCTACCCAATTTGCAAGCACAGCATCTAAAAATAAATCAAGAGTAACGGTACACGCCAAATTCCCAAATGACATGGCTCTCTTCTCCCTGTGTTCCTTCGAGGATCCAACAGCACCGAGTAAACTCCTGAGGCTTAGAAAGTGCTTTGTGCTTAACTTTTCTTTGTTCAGTCTCCTCTCATCTGCTGCTTGCAAAAGCTGCCATTTCTACCCAATAAAAGTCGATGTTCCTGCCCAGTACACTCTCAACCCTCTGTTTGAGTCCTGAACTAGGTAATGATGAATTATAATTATTCCTGATTGCAGATATTTTCTAAACTTTTAACTTTGAAATTTATAACCTTTAAATAAACATTAAGTGAGAGTAATATTTTTGTTATAAGATATATGTTAATTTTAAAAGTTAGGAAATACAGGTAAGTATGAATAAAAATAAAAACCATTTTGTTAACATGTGGAGATAGGAATTTTTGGTTTTGTGTTTGGTGAGTGGATACACACTGTTATTCATTATTTCAATATTCAACGTATATTAATTGTGTGTAGCCCAGGCTCTAGAAACCAGGTGTAAGGAATATAGTACTGAAAAAAAAAAGCCACTCCTTTCATGCAGTTTACCTTCAGAACTCATTATAAAAAGGGAATCATTCCATACCTACATTTTTAAAACCTGCTTTTAATCCATTTAAAATATATATTTTCATGTTAAATATAGGTCTATGACTGCAATTTCAAATGACTGTTAAATAGTTCACCATTCGAATGCTCCATAACTTCTTTATCCAATTCCATAATTCCAAGCAGCTTTCATTGTTTTCTGTTATTATTGCATGAACAACTTTTTTTCATGTTTTGCATGCTTTTATTTTTATTTATTTATTTTTTTATTTCAGCATATTATGGGGGTACAGATTTTAAGGTTTCAATAAATGCCCTTTCCCCCCTTCCCCCTACAAGTCTGAGTTTCCAGCATGACCATCCCCCAGATGGTGCGCATCTCACTCATTATGTATGTATATACCCACCCCCCTCCCCCCTGCATGAACAACTTTTTAAAGGAACTTTGTGCATTGACAAATAAATTGGCACATGCATTCAACTACACAAACGTCATACTCCTGTGTTTTGAGTCCTAGATCATATAACCCTTTCCAAGTCAGTATATAGATCTATTATATATTTCCTTGTATAGATAGTCCACTTTTAAAAGAAGTTCCTGATTGCTTCTTATTATAAATAGTGAAACAACAAATATCCTTGTGCATTTATTTGCACACATTTATATGAATGTTCACTCCTTTATTTCATTAGACTCTAAAATGGAGGTACATGCTTGGTATACAAATTTTAAGTAGAGAAGTGTATTTATTAAATGAAAAATGTAAACTGCATCCTATGCTTTCTTTCCACTCCCAGTTCAGGTCCTTGGAAGTAAATCACCTTGCATCTCCATTCATTTATTTTTTGTATAAATTTTCTCCACCTATTGTGTATGCACTACGTAATGGTTTTTGATCACACAGTATCCATGACTTCTCTCCTTTGCAATTGCACCCTGATATTTAGGAATGTCATTCTTTCCACACTCAATCTGTTGCAGCTACTGCAGCTTCCCTGTTCTTCACACAGGTTAAAACCAATTAAAAATATTCCAGCTTCAGGGACTGTGCACTTGCTGCTTCCACTGCCTGAAAAGCTTATCCCCAGATTCCCATAGCTTGCTTCCTTAATCCTTTAGGTCTTTGCTCAACTTTTACCTCATCAATGCGATATGCCCTAATCACCCCATTTAAAATAGCAGCCCCCAATCCCACACCTCCTACCTCCCTTCTTGGTTCAACTCTCATCCGGGGCATTTGTCATCATCTGACATTCTATTTACCTTACCCATTCCTCTGTTTATTATTTGAACCCCCTACTAGAATGTAAGCTCCACGAGGGAAGGAATTTTTGTCTTTTTTGTCCACTGTTATATCCTCAGTGCTAGAACAGTTATTAACATATAATAAATGGGTTCCCAATAAGTATTTATTTAATAGATGAATGAGTAGCAGTGAAGCACACACATAAGCTGGAGGCTGATTAGACATTAGTTTGAGCCTCAATTTTACTAAGGTCACAATAGCTCTGTGATCTTGGACAACTTAATTTGTCTAAGCTTCAATTTCTTCATCTTCAGGGTTGTTAAAATTAATTACTTCATAGGATGTTATGATCGTTCACAGAGGTTCCATCATGAAAAATGTACCTGGCAGATAGAACAGTACCTGGCACATAGCAAGCACTCAACAAAGCTTTTCTTATTATTATTAATATCATTATTCTTATTAATAATGTGACATAAAAAGTATAAACTTATTATTTTTCTTCTCTAGAGTTCCAACTCTTTGCCTAGCATACAAAGCATCTGGAAGCTTCCATGTGCAACAAGCTGACTCCTGTTAACCTTCAGTGTATACTAGCATTACAATGCAAGTAATACTGCCAGTGCAAAAAGCAGTTTGCTGCATTGTTCCTCCAGGATGATTTGTTGGCACTAGGGCGATTTTTAAATATGGGGACACTGTAGCCTCCTCCTACACAGTAGGGGACAGCCATAGTGATTGGTCCAAATTCAGAGTCGCTCATGTTCACAAAAACCTGGAACCTGGGACAGGTCCAACACTTCCCTGAGAGTTTCAGTGATGCGTTTTTGGTTCACATACTCAACATAGCTGCCTCATTTTTATTTCATAGCAGCAAAGGGTAAACTAGCAGAGCAAAGAACCCTATAGTTCCTTAGGATTCAATGGAAAAGGAAATGACCCATCCATGTTTCTCAAAGGCTAATTCCCAAGAACAACCTCTGGACAAGACTCAGGCTCCAAGTGTGTTCACTGCCATATTTTTCATTCACTCAACAAACATTTAAAAAAAATAAATTCTATGGGAAAGTCACCATAATATGTGCCAGGAAGATTCTTTCTGCCTAAAGATAATTGTTACTAGTTATATCAGCCATAAAAGCTGTCTGTTGAGAAATTATCTTGTTTCAGGCATTCTATGCAGGTGCTTAAATCCAAAATGGTGACGATGTGGGGATATGATGGAATCTACATTATAAGAAAATTGAGGATCATAGGAGTTTCCCATCCAAGGTCACAGATAGTGATTGAGCCAGAACTCAAACCCAGTGCTACAAAACTCTGCAGCCCTTGATTTTTGCAATGTTTTATATTGCCCCTGAATATCTTAATATAGAGGGGGAAAACATAAAAGCGTATCAGTAATGCAAATTATATGTAAATTATTCAATTGTGTCCAAGAAGCATTTATTGCGATGTAAAGCAGTGTTAGGTGTTTGAAGGAATCAGAAAAACTTCAATAGGATGAAGACTATCTGTAACTTCTCTAGGAGATCTGCTCTAATATAGTACAAATAAATGGAGTTTGCAGAGAACTTTATTTCTGATTAGAGAGGATCAGAGAAGGTACCACAGATGATGTCTGGTATCCATGTCTAGGGGGCCAAAGAGCATTTCAGCTTCTCACTGGTGGAGACCAGTGAGAAGAACGCAGCTAAGGCATAGATACGTGATGTAGTATCGAGGGCGTAGTCTTAAGGGGCAGGTAGTCTGAAGGGCAAACATGAAGAGATTTACTGACCACAGTAGGGGAGCCACGTCATCGCTGTGTAAAGGGTCATGGAGGACTGATAAAACACGAAGGTTGAACTGAATGAGATCATAGCAAAAATGCAGCAGTTTGGAAAGGTTTGGATGCAGAATGATTATGAATCACAGAGTTAAAGAGGCTGAGCCACAGCCAACTAAAGGGATGTGGTAATAATGTGTAGAAGTAGCCATTCCCTAGGTTCCAGATGGAACTGATGAGTGATGATAAGATCATTTCAACAGGCTCAAAGCACCCCTTCCCAGCCTGACATACTCCAGTTTTGAATCATTGCAAAACCTTCAGTCGAGCAGTAAGATTGTAAAATGGCTTCACTAGAGTGGGTGACAGGAATGGTGGGGCTCAGCCTTGGCTTGCTGGTATGTGATTACTAAAGAATAAACCCCCAAATGTTCAAGAGTTCTCCCAGTGTAATATGTTACCCCCAACAAATCAATGGAGACCCTCTCATAAAACATGGCCGAGAAACATGCATTTGTTTTGAATGCCCTGCTAATGGTTCTGAAAGGATTTGATTGCTCCCTAGTCAAAGTCATTTATTGAAGCCATGGAAACTGGCTAAGAAAGATACTATGGAGGATTAACTCAGGTGTCTTTTGTGTTTTCAGCCATGGTGTTTATTGTTAGTTTAACGTGGGCACGAAAGATAAATAAAAGCATACTGGTATTCTGGTAGAAATTAAAAGTAACATGGCTGCTCAGGCAAGACTATACTGTTTTACTGTTATTCTGAATTATCTACAGGTAGTATAATTGAATGTGTTATTTTACACTGGACATATATATTAATAATTATGACTATAACATATTTTATTGTATAATTTATTATGGGTACAGTTGGGTTATTTAAAGCTGTGGTCCCCAACCCCCAGGCTGCGGATTGGTGTTAGTCCTTGGCCTGTTAGGAACAGGGCCACACAGCAGGAGGTGAGTGGCAGGTGAGCCGGCAAAGCTTCCTCTGTATTTACAGCCACTCCCCATCACTCACCATCCCCCCCAACTCTGGTCCATGGAAAAAATTGTCTTCCATGCAACTGGTCCCTGGTGCCAAAAAGGTTGGACCACTGATTTAAAACATATTAGTTTTAAAATGTGCTTGTTCTTGTAACAATTTCTTAAAGTATTAAATGCCACAGAAAAAACATATAGGCACATGCTTTCATTCTACAATTCCCACTGGGAGAGAAAGTTTACCCAAGTGCTACTGAGATTTGCTGGGCTCTCTAAAGCGGAAGAGGCTGTGAGGAGGCAGATTCAAGTCGTTGAGAACAGTGCTATGTTAAAGATCAGAATCCCTGCCTCAAAGCATTGTCCCAGAGACATATGAAACACACAGGTGTTTCACCATTCTTAGTAGAATCTGACCTCCGCAAGAGAAGAAACTCCATCTTGCTAACAGCCATGTTGTTTCCTTTCTGCCCCATGCTGTACAAGGCAAAGGAGAGCAGGAATTGGAAGGCAGAGTAGATACTCTTCTTCCTTCTCCTGCTGCTGGTACTACCACAAATACTACCACCTCTTTGGCTTCTAGCTAAGATTTGCTGGGCATTTCCTATTTGCTGGACCTCATTCTCAGCATTTAAAGATATTATCTTATTTAATCTTTATAACAACCCTATCAAGTAGCTATTATTATCTCCATTTCATAGACAAAGAGAAATACAGCAAGAATACATAACTAGCCCAAGTTTATACCACTAGTAACTGGTAGAGTGTCAATGGTCTAACTAAATCTCTTTTATCAGATATCTTTTTTTATCAGAAAATTAAAGTTTTAACTTACACTCTTCTAAAAATACTCATTGAACATACTCCAACATGTAACTCCATAATAGGGAGACTGAGTAAATAACTGAGTTGTGTGGCCAACTTTGACCTCCATATTTTTCTATCTCCAAAAATAGCACAATCCATGATTTTTTACAAAATAAGGAAGTTTATAGTCAGGAGCAAAGTAGAGTCATTTTTCTGCTTCTCTATTTAGGAATTGGTCTCTTTTGTTTAGTTGTCTAAAGTATGTTAATAAAAAGAGGGAATTCACATTCCATGTCTGGAAATTTTCTTTTGCTTTGTGTATCAGGTTTCTTTTGAGAGGACATTAAAGTAATTCGAATTCTTCTGACCCTCGTTCCAGTGTATGAGGAGGATATAAACACCAAAATCCAAAAGGGCATATTATTGTTTGCTCATGTTATATACCTTGTGCTTGGGGTGATGATATTTTGAGCCTTGGAGAAATACTCTGAGGTATAGCAGCAGCAGTTAGCAGTTAATACAAAAATCGATTTTCTACAAAACCATTCTAATATGACCCAAGAAGATATTGAACTTTTTCTGCAGGTAAGAGATGAAGGTATAGTTATTTTCAGAGTCATAAGACTGCTATCCATGCTGAGAAGTCATGTATTAATAGTACAAAGATCTCATGAAATAACTTCCTTCATTATGGCTAAATAGAGTTTACCATAACAGGACATTTCATTTTAGGTGTGGACCAGACAGGGAAGATTAGAGTAGGAACAAGGAAATCATGCGGAAAGAAAGAAGGTAGCAGATGATAAGGAAGTGGAAGGAGGCGAAAGTCAGAGAAGGGACAAAGGACAACCCAACCACTATATGGTATGAAAACTAAAAGTATTCTGATTGAAGTTATCCTGAAAATTTTCCTTTACATTGTTCCATATAAAATTCAGAAACATAGTCTGAAACGGAGATAAAATGGCAGAAAAAATGGCTTATTTCCCTTTTCATTTTTTCAGAGATTGCCATGCTGTAAGTTCTAGGCACATTGTATTTAAGCTTTTTCTTATGATACCTTTTGTGATGGAGAAAATGTAATTCTAATGTATTACTCTTTTTCTTTAGGGTTTGTACAACTTATGCCAGTCTTTCTCAAATTTGATGTCATAAGACATTTCCTTAAATTTTCTTATAAAAGTTTTACAATTTTGCTTTTGGTACATTTAAATCATTAAGCACCTAGATAGTGTGTGTGTGTGTGTGTGTGTGTGTGTGTGTGTGTGTGTGTGTACATGTAAAGCAGGATCTAATTTTGCTCATTTTTCCATATGGAGAGCCAATTGTTCCAGAACAATATATTGATTGATTTCATTATTTTCCCATTCATTTTTAACATTCTCTATGTCAAATTCCAAGTTCTCATATGTACATAAATCTGTTTCTGGGCTTTTGATTCTGTCCCATTCTGTTTGAATTACAGTAGCCTTGGAATATGTCCTGAAATAAATGTTTTTACTCTTTTATATGAATTTCCTGATCTGCTAATCAAATTCTATGATATACTCTACTCAATTAAAATTTTTTTTGAATTTGGGAAGAATTATCATGTGATGATATTGTATTCTTACACACAAACAAATTATTTCTCCATTTATTTAGGGCTTCATTTATGTTTTTCTAAGTTTTTAAGTTAAAGATTTGCAGTATTTTCCATTAACATCTTTGCACATATTTTATTATTTTAGGTGACATATAGTTTTGTTGTTATTATGGATGACATCTTATCATCATCGTCGTCATCACCATCATCAGTCAAAACTATTACCAACCCACGAATCGGACTGGCTTTCGAGTGTGCCGTGTCTAGTTCCTCCAACGTTGCTGCTGTGAAGAAAGTGGTTCAACAGCTCTGGCTGGAGGCTGGGCTCAACTGTGTTAAGGCTTCCCAGGCAAAAGTCATAGTTGAGTTGAATTGCATTGCATTGCATCGCAACAATTCTGTCTGTAGAATGCCCTACTTCAGGCGTCCTCAAAGTACGGCCCGCAGGCCACATGCAGGTGTTTTTGCCTGTTTGTTTTTTTACTTCAAAATAAGATATGTGCAGTGTGCATAGGAATTTGTTCATAGTTTTTTTTAAACTATAGTCCAGCCCTCCAACAGTCTGAAAGACAGTGAACTGGCCCCCTGTTTAAAAAATTTGAGGACCCCTGCCCTACATGATCCTCTGCTGACTGGGGTATCTTCAAGTACAAATCCCTTTAGACCCCAGAAAGTCTGTTCCTTTTTGTAGTAAAATGAATCTTTCAAAGGTTACCCAAACCACTTCTCGTGAACCAGTGAGTATTCAAGAAAGAACTAAATTTGAAGTCTATATAAAAACTTATCCTTATAACACATGTGCCATGATATACAAACTTCTACTTTTGTCAGTACTTAACATCTACCTCTCTGAATTTTCATGAACATCTATTTACAAGAGTATAATTGTTTTGTATACACTGGTGGCAGCATATAGTAAAATACTTAGTATAAAAAAACAAGTATTATTACATATTCTGATTGATTAACTGTTGCATTAATACCAATTCTAATAGTTTGTGTATGCTTATATTTTCTAAGTAATAATTATGTTGTCTATGAATAATGGCTTTTCTTTTGAAAAAATTGATTATACCTTTTTTTGGTCTCATTTCATTTACTTCAATATGATGTCAAAATGGTGATAGTTGGTATCTCTATCTTGTTTCTGACTTTTGCCATTTGTGGTGGGGTTTGATGGAGGCCATGATAGATATTCATTACAATGTTATTCTTTATTCTACTCCCAATTTTCATGAGTTTTTTAAAATCAATTTTATTGAGGTATAATTTTTGTAAAATAAAATGCACTATTTTAAGTGTATGGTTTAATGTGTATTGCAAATGTATACAGCAATGTACAAAATCAAAATACGAAACATACACATTATCCTCAATTTTTTTTTCAGGTTTTTCTAAAATTGCTGCCAGGCTGGGCATGGTGGCTCACACCCGTAATCCTAGCACTCTGGAGGGCCAAGGTGGGAGAATCACTTGATATTAGGAGTTTGAGATCAGCCTGAACAAGAGCGAGACCCTATCTCTACAAAAAATAGTAAAAAAATTAGCCAGGCGTTCTGGCATGCACTTGTAGTGCCAGCTACTCAGGAGGCTGAAGCAGGAGGATCCCTTGAGCCCAGAAGTTTGGGGTTGCAGTGAGCTATGATGACACCATTGTACTCTAGTCGAGGCAACAGAAAAGACTCTGTCTCAAAATTAAACAAAAAATTAAAGTTAAAAAAAAAAAATCACCACCACTGCCACCAGACCCACTGATCCACAAGCAACCACCAATCTACTTTTAGTTGCTATAATTTTGTGTTTTTTAGAATTTCATATAAATGTAATCATATATTATGTAGAATCATATCATATATAGTCCATTATTTATTTATTTATTTATTTTGCACATTGTGGCCAATTTGATAAAAACAGAATAGAAAGGAAGGAGGTCTAAGTATTGTTAAGGAGGAGGAGAAAGCTATTATTATTTGCAGACAGGAATGCATCTACAGAAGACCCAAAGGCGTAAAATTGAAAAAAAAACAAAAAGAATTAATGAGCTCAGTAAAGTGGCTGAATACAAAATAAATACATAAAAATCAATAGCTTTTTTTGTAACATTAAAAACAAATTATAAAATATAATGAAAACTTGGACCCTGATAAAATAGCAGGAAAACTATGAAATGCCTATAAACAACCTTAATAAAATTGAACAATGTATTTGGAGAGAACTATAAAATTAGAAAATGTTATTGAGAATTATAAAAGAAAACTTGGATAAAATACATTAAAGATGTCAATTTTTAATGATTGCAATCAATTTACAATTGATTGCTCTATTTCATGTTATGTATTTCAATGTGATATTTTCATAAGTTGAAAAAAATCATTCCTACTTTCACCTGACAGAATAACAGGCAATAATTGCACTGAGTTAGGGAAGGAATATTAGATTATTAGATATTAAAATTCAGAAAACTTCAGTAATTAAGAGTGTGATATTTGTGCAAGAATAAATCAGGTACTCTTACTATGAGCCATCGTGGCATTCTTGATATATTTTCTCCATAGCTGTTAGAAATGCTATTAAGTAATTTTTTTATTTCAAAATATTATGGATATATAAATGTTTTTGGTACATATATCGATTTTGTTATACTTGTGTTTATGCTTGTTATGCTTGTGTTTATGCTTGTTATGCTTGAGTTATAAGTGTGCTCATCACCCAGACAGTGTACCTGCAAAAGACACTGTTAAGGGAATGAAAAGATAAGCCATAGAGTGGGAGAGAATATTTGCAAAGCACAACATTGTACCTGTTAGCTAGGTTTTTGCCTATCTTCCCTTCCCACTGCTTGATTTACACCGTGTTTCACTTCCCTCTGTACACATGTGTGCTTATCCATAGGTTCCAATTTAATAGCAAGTACATATGGTGGTTTTTTTTCCATTGTTTAGATACTTCAATTAAGAGAAGGGTCTCCAGGTCCATCCAAATTGTTGCAAAAGTCCTTAATTCATCCTTCTTTGTAGCTGCATAGTATTCCATAGTATACATATATCACATTTTGTTAATCCACTCATGTATTGATGGGCACTTGGGTCAATTCCTCATCTTTGCAATTGTGAATTGTGATGCAATAACCATTCATGCATAGCTACCTTTTTGATAAAAATGACTTTTCCTTTAGGAAATACTCCATAGCGGGATTGCTGGATCGAATGATAAGTCTGCTTTTAGTTCTTTCAAGAAACTCCATACTGTTTTCTATAGAGGTTGTTCTAATATGCGGTCCCATCAACAGTGTATAAGCATTCCTTTCTCTCTGGATCAATGCTACCATCTGCTGTTTGGGGACTTTTTAATAAAAGCCATTCTGACTGGGATAAGATGATATCTCATTGTGGTTTTGATTTGCATTTCCCTGATGATTAGTGATGTTGAACATTTTGTCATAAGTGTATAGGCCATTAGTCTATCTTTTGCCCACTTGTTAATGGGGTTGTTTGGTTTTCCCTTACTGATTTGTGTGAGTTCTTTGTAGATTCTGGTTATTAGCCCTTTATTGGATGTATAGCTTGTGACTATTTTCTCCCATTCTTTAGGTTGTCTATTTGCTCTGTTGATTATTTCCTTAGCTGTGCAGAAGCTTTTTAATCAAGTCCCATTTATTTATTTTTGTTGTTGCTGTGATTGCCATTGGGGTCTTCTTTATAAATGCCTTACCTAGGCTGATATCTAGAAGAGTTTTTCTAACATTTTCTTCTAGAATTCTCATGGTTTCATGCTTTACATTTAAGTCTTTATCCATCTTGAATTAATTTTTGTGAGTGATAAGAGATATGTGTCCTGTTTCATTCTTCTGTATGTGGCTATCCGAATTTCCCAGCACCATTTATTGAATAGGGCTTCTTGGTCCCAATGTATATTGTTGTCTGTTTTGTCAAAGATCAGTTGGCTGTATGTAGATGGCTTTATTTCTGGGCTCTCTGTTCTGATCCATTGGTCTATGTCTCTATTTTTGTGCGAGTAGTAGCTGTTTTAGTTACTATGGCCTTGTAGTATAGTATAAAGTCTGGTAAAGTGATGTCTCCAGATTTGTTCCTTTTGCTTAACTCGAATGTTTCCTTGTTGACTTTTCTGTCTTGATGATCTATCTAGTGCTCTGAATGGGGTATTGAAGTCCTCCACTAATATAGTGTTGCTGTCTATCTGGAACAACTGGACACCCACATGTAAATTTAAAAAAAAGGAACCTAGACCTTACATCTTTCACCAAAAACTTAACTCAAAATGGTTCATACCCTAAATGTAAAATGCAAAACAATAAAACTAGAAGATAATTTGAGAAAATCTAGCTGATCTTAAGTTTGGTGATTTCCATACACAACACCCAAAGCACAATCCATGAAGGAAAAAAATGGATTCATTGTATTTCATTAAAATTAAAAACTTCTCTGCAAAAGACACTGTTAAGGGAATGAAAAGATAAGCCATAGAGTGGGAGAGAATATTTGCAAAACACAAATAAGGAATTATATCTAAAATATACAAAGAACTATTAAAAGTCAACATTAAGTAAACAACCCAATTTTTAAAATGTGGTAGAAGATCTGAATAGATAACTTTGCCAAAGAAGATATACAGATTATAAATAAGCATATAATAAGATGCTCAACATCACATGTCATTAGGGAATTGCAAATTAAAATAACAATGAGATATCACTAAGGCATGTATCATAATGGCAAAAATCCAAAACATTGCCAACCTCAAATGCTGGTGAGGATGTGGAACAACAGAAACTTCTATTAATTGATGGTGGGAATGCAAAATGGTACAGCCACTTTGGAAGGCAGTCTGCCAGTTTTTAAATCAGTGTTTTCAGTTGTACATATGTTAGGATATAGAGAGGAAAGACATAGAGAAAGTGGATTCCATAGCTCATGACTTTTAAGTCAAGCTCATTTGAAAATCCATCTTCAGCCTACTCTGATTTGTGAAATGTTGTCGTACATATTAGGTGAGCAAGAGGAAACCAGAATGCTTATTCATAGTTGTTTATTTTAAGAAAATTATTTGTTGTATTTTTATAGAGGAGGAGATACATAGAACATACATGGAATATCATTCATCAATAAAAAGAAATGAGCTATCAAGCCACAAATAGACATAGAAGAGCCTTAAAGACATATTGCTAAGTAAAAGAAGCCAGTCTGAAAAGGCTACATACTGTATGATTCCAACTATGTAACATTCTGGAAAATGCAAAGCTATAGCAGTAGTAACAATCAGTGGTTGCCAGGGGTCCTGAAGGAGGAAGGGAAGGATGACTGGGTGGAGTACAGGGAACTTTTAGAGCAATGCATGATTGCTCTACAATATTCTGCATGATATTGTAATGGTGGATATATGATGTAAGGCACTTGTCAAACTGATAA